GGGACTATCACATTGGTCACATAGGTTCCTTCATTTAGTGATTCTGCAAATTCGTGACTAAATGCTGTGTTATTCCAAGCATCTTCCAAGGTACTGAGAATCCTTTCTGTAACTCCTATAATATCATCTTCTGATTCATACCATGTTCTGTTATGTTTTAATTTTTCAGGTGGAACCTCAACCTGTTGTCTAATGAACCATGATACAAATTCCATGCAAGTTTCTTGGATAATAGGCAACAAAGTAGGTACCATTTGATGAACAGGTTTCTAGTAATAACAAAAAATATTAAAATTATATTGTTTATTGTAGGTAAATACTATATAAATGCTTACCATAAAAATATTATACAGATAATTTGGTAACTGTTGTACCAGCTTTGAATCATCACTAATAACCTGGCTCGCCAGAGGAACCTTCCAGGTTAATTCGGGAACAGACAGCTCATTTACACCAGAATATAAATGCTGGTAAAGTTGTGATGTATCTTTCTTAAGTTTTCCTTTTAACTCATTTATATTCTGTTTAATTTGTTTTGAACTAAGAGGCTTTTCTTCATTTGTTCTTACTACTCCGATATCGCGTAAACTACAAACCGTTTTGTATGAAATTTCAAACTAACACAGACATACAATTAGTTAGTTTATGTTGATATTTAAAAATAACTTAAAAAAGCGCATGCGCTGTCAGAATATAATCAAAACCCTATCATTGTGAGGTTAGCTACTCCATCACGCAGATAAGATTCTGATCGATACTTAGAATAACCACATTAAAATAAGCAGATATCTACAATCTAAACATCCTCACACATCGAGGAAATTTTCCTGTAGGCGGACTATGGAATGTTTAAACTGTTGTGCTTATTCTCTCAGAATGGTATCACTGTCTGCGTTACTCATCATTCGAAATAAATATTTATTAATAAAGATAGATATCTTACTTCAGGTAGAATTTCTAGAAGTGTCGTATAATGTGAGGAGCCTCGATTATTTTGACTATTAGCAAAAGATACCGCCTGTTCTATGACACCTCTCAATTTATTTTTTTCTATCCATGGATCATCTTCTATAGCTTGATAAATAACTGATCCAGCGGTTACGTGTTCTTCTTCTGCATTAACTAAGAAATTATAAATTTTTGTTTGTAAATCGGCGGACATATTAATAGATATTCAAGTCAATAGTAAAAAGTAGTTTGGAAAATCACTAAATGCGACGAGTAACAATAGATCATTATACTGCCCTTTTAAACATTTTGTTCATCTCTTTATATGTCTTCTTTTGGATCTATAGAATAGGTGGAAGAAAGTATTTACGCCAAAAATTTCTCACAAAGAAAAATAAATGTACATGAGGTAATTAATCGAATTTGGTTAATTGCACAAATAAACATGCATGTGTCATTATTATTATCAGGCGTTACACATCAAAATTTTATCTTTACTCAGCCCCATTAAAATGTCGTACGATATAAATGATTATCTGATCGATTATGCAGAGTATCAAATTTGAATTTCCTAGAAAAATATGGAAAAGACACTCAACTATTACCTACCCGCATCTAAGAGCGGAGCTCATGCCAAGGCATAGAAAGATCCTGTAAAATATATGTATGAACTTCCAATTTTCACGAAGAAGTTACGGTCAGGGAATTTTGATTATGGATTAACCAAGAGAATATTCCTCAAAGACACAAATATCGGTATAGATAATTACATTTAATCGAACAAGAAATACATAGATTTTTTTAAAAAATAGCAAATAGATATCATGATTTTTTATTGTAATATTTGATATATAATAATAATGATTTTTAATGATATTTAATATAGAAAAATAGAAAAATAGAAATAAACACGAGCTTGCATGGGAGGGATGCGAAAGCGCATATAATGCACGACTCCAAGGCCATGTAATGTGCATCCCTGTACTTT